GTGTGTGTGTGTGTGTGTGTGTGTGTGTGTGTGTGTGTGTGTGTGTGTTCTGAATATTGTTTTCCACTTAGATTGCAAGGCTTCATCAACTTCATTGCCTATATTGTAATGCAACGGTTTAAGCTGAGGACTAAAATAGTTTCTGTGGTACATGCTGACCCAGTAAACTAGAGCAGTGCACAGTGTGCAAAATGGACTTGCTCTACACCTAGTTAAATGTTCCTGTATTTACTGAGCATACAACACTCACTTTAATGCATCCAGAATTTCAGGAGCGTGTTATCGGACAAAAAAAGGGAAGAGCAGGGTGTTTCTGCAAAAAAAGAAGAAAAAAAAAAGCACCGACATTACTCAGAGCCGAGAATGTTTCCAGTACAACTGTGTCTCACAAGGGTGGAATCGAAACTAGCAAAAATCGCTTTTCCCTCTAATCCTCCGCGAGCTACTCCCACTGAGCCCTGCAGGAATTAATTTGCAATGCTGGGGATTCTGAGCAATTTATTTGCCACAGCAATCTTAACTGAGATTTGGATTTCATTATAGCAAACAAGAATTCAGAAACAGATGTATACCACTAAGGCCTTTTCCAGTGTTTCAGCTCTGTGCAAGGCTGCATAAGACATTATACTGAGGGTTGCCATGATGCCATGTACATGATCATCCAGAAATGTAGCAGTGGAAAGCACATTTACTGAATACTGAGTACAAATTTGAAATACTTGCACTTGAGATAGGTATTTATAGTTAATGCACAAGGGAATGATACACTTAAACACAATGAACACATTACAAACACTGACAGGCACAGTGATAAACATTGTTGTTCTCACTAAAACACAAAGATATTTTGTAATATAACATTCATATAGACGTTATTATTAAAATTACTATTACAACCTAAATATTGTTGCACAATGCTCATGGCAAAAGCACTCCCAGATGGCAGCAGCCTCCCCCAGCAGGATAATTCCTCCACCACACCACAAAAAATACTCCAGGAATGGAGAGTCCAGGGTGTTGACGTGGCCACCAAGCTACCTAAATCCAACATAGGATGACCCGATGGACCCGATTACAACACACAGGAAGCAAAGAAGGCCAAATTCCTTGTGCCAGACACTACAGGACACCGGTGGAGGTCCCACGTGACCCACATATATGCACAAAGGTGACCCACACAATTTTAGGCAGCAAGTATTAATGTTATGGCTGATTCTTGTATAGTAAGCTTATTAAACCACAGACAGTGCCTCCAAACTATTTTAATCTTTAAGACTTTAAAAACAGCATCAACTACATGTCTATTGGTCATTTCAATGCCAAAAGACATAAAGAAGAAAATATGTCACCCCCAAAATGTTTTGAGTAGTCAAACATGTCTAAAAATATGAGAAGAATAAGACTGACTTATATATAAACAAAAGGTGAGACAAAGAGTGTGGTTGGGTTGGACACTAGGATGCATTTCTTACCTGCTAAACTAGTCTAAGATTTTGGGAACTATGCACTATGGAACTGGTTTGTCAGGAACAAATGGACGTCATTTTATTTAATCCATCTATAGCCTCCTGAAACCTGAGTGCTTGTTTGGCATGCATTTTTTTAATTTCTTCTAGCTGTTGTTGGGACTGATAGTCACCTAAGAGCCGTTTGTCAAACTTTCCCAAAGTCCTTCTTTAGATTAATTTTTTTTTATATTTGCACACAAATATAAAAATAAAGTCATCTTCTCATTAAGACATGGCACAAAACTCTGCTGTGCAAAGATGTGCTTTAAGTTTGCAATGCTCAAAGCTTAGAAAGTGAAGTTAAACCTGAGGGTTATCTTCCAGTGTACATGTACTATAAAAATGTCAGCAAGTGTTTGAGCTGTCACTCGAGAAAGCATCCCGCCAAAAACAAAAGAAATCCGTTTAGACTTGAGAAATAGAATTGTTGATGCTCACAAAGCAGGAGACAGACATACAAAGTTATCAGAGCGTTTCCAAGTGTCAAGAACTGGAGTGAGAAGCATCGTCAAGAAATTCAAAGACGAGTACAGAACAAGCCCGGCAGAGATAGAAAGCAAAAGATTTCAAAGACTTCAAGCCAGACTGAACTATGCTAAGGACAAACCTGTGGAAAGACTACGCATACTGGAAACGCTGGGTATGGATCGTCGCTTTGTCTTTCAACACGACAACGACCCAAAACGTTTGCTGCTCCTGGTTCCAGAAGACCAAGGTGAAGGTTACTGACATGACTTTAATCCTACTGAAAATCAGTGAGCTGAACTGAAGATGAAAGTCCCCGCCAGAAGAAATTTGAGAGATTTCCCAACACGCCTTTCAAAGTAAAAATAACGTAAGCGTCGAAAATGATACTAGGATGTTTGGAACAGCTGTGTTAAATATTCCTTGCTCTGCTTGACAGCACTTGGGGAATACTCTTTTTAACATTAATTTTTTATAGGGAGGCTAATAATGCTGTCGTCATCTGAATTTTAAAGTATAACACAAAAAAATCGCAATTTTAATACAGGGTAAAACCCTTTATTAAGCATAGTGAAGTATAAGGTGCAGAAAAGTCAAAATTTAATATCTCCATATGCAGACGCAGGGTCTCAGCAGGGCGGGTAAATGACTAAACCTGAAACGAAGCTGAGCATAAACTCTGAGAATTCTCCTCTCCTGGCCTCGTGTCATTATAATTAGCTTTCCAATCGTTGTAACTGAATTTTCGTTTTATTGTGATGCTTTCTGCATTCTTTACAACCACTGGATAAAAAGCAGACTGTCGAGCAATGTTGACTTTTGAACATCAGACCCGATCAAAATGTGGGACACTGCCTTAATATGTGGGAAAAGCAAGCAAGGTATTAAAAGTTCTGAAATCCCGCTCTCTTGGGAACTCAAAGATCAAGCAATCACACTCAAATGTTAAAGCCCATCTCCATTTTAGCTAGCTAAAACAGGAACATGATATCAGTCATTGCCTTTGTCTGTGCAATCAAGTCACTAACCAGAGCAACACTTGTTTTCCTTTATTATAGTGACACTAACCCAAACATTCCTCAAAATGAAAGACAAGCTGGGTGACATTTCTATTTGTGTGACATTTCATTCTGCTGTGACACATGCACACACAGAAAAAACACACTCCACCCATCTTCACAGCCATGATGACAAAGACAATAACAGATCATAAACTAATCCAAAGTTGACTGCCAGTTTTAACCTTGTTACCCTTTGATAGGGCAGCACCACCATAGCCATTCACACACGCTAAATATTAAAGACAAGTCTGCATATAAGAGGTAATAAATAAGTCCATATCCCACAGATCATGTTCAACTGTAGTTTATTTTATTAAAAAGACCAGGGTGCAAATATGAAATTAAAAAAAATAAAGACAAGCATATAATTTTTAAGCATTTAATACAAACTTAACAATATAAACTATTTCAGTCCCTCTTGACATGTAAGACACTGACTCAAAATACTTTGTTATACCTTAATGTTTTTGTTTTTTTATCAAGTATTGCACAATGTAGGTACAAAATTAATATTCATACGATTACATTTTGTCCATAGTATAGCAAAATCTTTTAACCTCTTAACAGAAAATACAATTCATCTTCCAGAAAAAAGCAAATATTCCTACACTTTACTTCCACCACTAAGGAATACTCTGTACACAATCTTCAGAATATTTGATGTATAGTTTGTTTTTTTTAAAGATGGATTTCTTTAACAATTATCTTTTTAAAAAAAGAAAGAAAAATAAGGAAAAGCTGCTGCAGCCATCACAGATCACTGGAGTAGTAAAAAGATATAAATGCAACACCATGTCATAGAAACAATATATACTCTGATATCTTACAAACTCTGTACTAAATTAAATTATACAATTAGAAAAAGACCAAGTAACCCCACTTAGAAGTGCCAATTCATAAAAATCAGCCTTGTCTTACTACCTGTAAAATACTGTAAGAGGCCAGAACTTGAAGCTTGTATTTTTTTATAATTTTTTTTTTTTAACTTTATTTTAAAGTTATTTTCCTCAACATAGTAAAAAACTTTGTGCTTGGTTGGCAAAAAGAAATCAAGAAAAACAATGATGCATGTTGAATTGAAGTAACCAAGCTTGGATGTGTTTGTACAACAAGCTTTTAGTAGAAACTAACTCAAGGGGGCGTGGTCAAAACACCCTTGGGCACATGCGCTTTATTGACTAGACACTACATCCTTAAAGTCCAGTTTCTAAGTGTGCGTTTTGTTTTTCCTTCTTTTTGAGCCACCGTCATTCATAAATAGCATCTTCTGATGATGAGCTTAGTTAGCCATGACTGGCTGGAATTGCTGGTTAGAATACTGCATGTTGCTCAGACTGAAGTTGAGGCCATCCATAAGAGACTTGTCGTTGAGGCTTCCGTAGGCTGCAAACATGTCAAAGGCATTGTTGTACTGCAGTGGGCCAAGCCCCAGGGAGCCCTCCCCGGGGAACACTGCTCCAGGGCTGGACTGGCCCTGGAGACTGGGGAACACAAACTCCTTGGCGTTGGGAGAGAGAGCAGAGGCTTTCTGCTGCTGCTGCTGCTGACTCAGGCCGAGCCCGTACAGCGAGTGCATGGAGGTGGAGATGGCTTTCTGCTTCAATAGGGTGTTGACATTCAGACCAAGGTTGTTGGTAGGGGAGGTGCGGGCCACCTTGCTGCTACTGCCGCTGTTGCCGTTACTGCGTCCGCTGCTCTTCATCTTAGTGGAGCCAAATTTGGTGGCGGCGAAGGTGGCAGTGGTGAAGGTTAAGGGCTGGGTGGAGCGTGGCATAAAAGATGGGCTTACCGCAGCAGACTGCCCAAAAGGAGGGGAGGGGGAGCTGGACTCTGAAGAAGCCCCGACAGGGTCGCTGATTGGCATGAAGACCTGGGCCTCAGGATTAAAGCTGTTCTTGATCTCCTTGTCCAACTCTGAGCCATTTTCATTGTTATCATCCACATACAGCACCTTAACCGGTCCCTTTTCCCCGATCTGGTAGGAAACCTCAAACGGGTCAATCCACACGCTAAGGTCCTGAGGAAGATTATTCCGGACGTCTTCGATATCCAGCCCGCTCTCTTTGGCTGCCTGCTCCACCACGGGGTCCACCTTCTCCCCTACATGGATGCACCTGAACCCTGACCCTTTGTATGGCTTATCCGGATACCAGTGGCCTTCATATTTTTTCTTCAGCTGCCTCTCAAGCTCTTCGCCAAAGATATTTACTCGTCGTCGAGGGAGTTTGTTGTATAAATAGGAAATAATAAAGTTGAGGGCTACTTGAATTTCAAGCTGCATAGCTGCTTTCAGTGGCAAGAGGGCTTCTTTTACTGTCACAGGTTTGCTTTTTCCTCCCACAAAGCGTTGCAAAAAACCTCCAAGGCAGCAGTGATGAGTGTAATGAAAAAGCTCAGCACGCGTTGCCGAAACAAATATACGTCCTGCAGCAGAGTCGAAGTCAGGACCCTGAAATGGAAAGAAAAGGGGACGAGTTATAGATGTGCAGCTGTTCACAGCATAACACAAGCAAAGCAAAACAGTTATCAGTTTGGGCCCCATTTAAAAACAAAACAAAAACATTTTAATCACTATCCACTTCCTCCCCCTCTCTGCACAGCAGTGCTGGCATCGCAGCTGTACAACAGCTATAAATACATACAGGCCACTGACTCAGATGGTGTCAGCAGTGCATGCTCCCCAGCGGTCTAGTGTGACAGATAAGTGCACCCATGGTTGACCTCTGCAGAGGGCGGTGGATGTAATGGCAGGTGTCAATAGTGAGACGGATTTTCGATCGCTTCCTATTCGCACTGGACATGTTTAGACAAACTCCAGCCTTCTTTAGTTGGATAAGCGTCATTTTAAATAACCCAGCCGGGCTATTCCAGCACTTTCACCCCTGCTGAGCTACAGTAGGTAGAGGAGCACGTACACACTCGCGAGGAGAATTGTTACATAATCATCATTCAAAGTCTAACCACGGCCATAAAACCCTCTGTTACAGCAGAGCAAGAGCGTACGTGACCCTGTCAGCGCTGTATACACATACTGTCCGCTTTCTCACCCCGTCGCTCTGTCGCTGTCGTCCACCTAGCATTAGCTGGCCAACTTAATGATGGGTGTGAACTGAAATGTGGCAAGCTAGCTATCAAGAAGGCAGATAGTGTTAATGTTTAGCTCGCCCAGCTGCTTATCAGCATTACCTCGCGGTGACATCGCGTGTGCCAACCGCAAGATATGCGCACAATGAAAGTCGATCGTAAGAGACAGTCAATGTCACTGTTAACGGCAACATAAGATGGAAATTGGCGTTTTAGCCGGACTCTGGTCGACACCAAGCGGTGTAGCATTTTAATTAGCTAGGAAGCTACAGCTCGCATACTCGACAAAAATACTTTCGTTTAATAACATCACTGACTGCGACACTTAGAAAACTAACAAGAGATATAGGAGGAGTGATGCACGGCTGTGTCAGAGTCCGAGAAATTGACGTTACGTTAATATTTACCTTACATGGAATCAGCAGGTCCTTCTTGCACAAACCAGAGTCCGCTCCAGCAAACGCTAGAATCTACACAGCTTCTAGTGTCACTTTCTAAAGAAGATGGAAAATATTGTAGCGCTCCAGGCGATTTTCTTTCTTTCGTGGGGTTACAGTTGAATTCCGATTTGCAGGCTTCCAAGCTTACTCCCCACAGCCTGGGAGTTTTTACAACTCTGCCCTTTAAAACTTGGGCTTGTTTGTTTTTATAGTAGTCCTCCGCCACGGACATGGAATGGGGTGGTGATGCGGCTCACAGGGGTCAACACCCAGTAACGCGCTTCTATTGGCCGAGCGCTTCGTCGTCATGAACAACCACACCAACTAAAGCTGTGACTGGATGATTTTGTGTTCAGTCAAACACAGGGTTCTATTTACGGTAGTGGTTTGCCTTTCATCTGTTATGGACTACTTTATCGGAGAAAGGGTATTAACTAAAAACCATTTGAAACCCGTGCGGAGAAATATGATTTTTTTTAAAACAAAAACTATTAAAAATATAATACCTGCATGGCTGAAAGGTAAAGAACTGACACTGACTGTCTGTTTTATGTGACATATGCTCTTGAGGGTTCTACATTTCAGTGATTGTGCTCAGTTGTGCATAAAACGTACTGCTGGTTATATTTATTATGATTAGAATTTCGAATAGTCAGTATAGTTATTGCTGAGAGCGAGGAACAAGGCTGAAATGAGACCACACTTGGCACCACTTCTGCCACTACAGGGTTAAAGGAAGCTAGGATAACCACTGTGGCGGAGGGACACACCTGTCACTGGCTTTGTTCCCTGCTCCTCACCAATGACATTTTGATGTTCCTTGAGTGTAAACCTTGCTGAACAGCATTCTCTTACTATTAAACAACACAATTCAAACAAAACAGATTTTGTAATTGTAAAATTAAAATAATAATGCTATATCATTTTTCAATCTGTGTCCCTGCCATTGAATTCTCTTCATTATAATGCCTGTGGACTGTGAAATTCATTAGTTACACATTGAATCCTGGCTGCTCTCCTGCCTACGTGCAGGCTACTTGTTTTTAGCAGCTGTGCAGTGCAGGGCTTACACTCTCCGCTGTCAGACCCAAGGTGTTTGACGCCACACTCTGCTCTTACCTAACATGGGCTCCCGCACTCCCATGTTTGCACAATAAATACAATGCCACATGAATTATACAGCTGTGAGGGAGGGAGAGGGGCAGGAGAGTAAGAGAGGAGGAGGGAGAGAGGACAGACTGTTCTTTAGAAAGGGGGGAAATGACTGAGAAACAAAAGTATCTCTTCCTGACTCAAAAAATATCCCACTCAGTGCTGTATGCCATGTCTGTTAAATCTGAAAGCTGATTTATAGCTGCCAGCTGCTTACAGGCTCTCTAGAGGGAACAGCAGGGAAGTCAATATAATTTCAGAGGCGTATACAATTGATCTGAATCAATCATAATTCATTTAGATAGTCTGTTGTTTGAGTATGTACCATGCCAAATCATATAGCAGTAATAAAAAATAGACACATTCCTGTTCTCGTTCCCTGTTCAGATATATATAAAATTCATTTCTAATAAAGTGTGTATTTGTATTGCTGATTACTTCATTTCTTACTCGTGACTTGTTTCTAAAAATAATCTCTTAAAAATCACGTATAAGTTAACCCATGTGTCCACTCAGAGGTTAATTGTGGCTTATCAACAGGACGTTTGATGTTTAGCCCAGCATCACATCCCAGCACCATAAACAGCGCTAGAAAATGCAGTCAGATCATAGCCAGAGGGCTGCAGGGTGCTGCGGGCACAATGGAGAGTTCTTCCAGCCTCCAGATTGAGACTCAGCAGGGGTGAGAGATGAGCCCCCACCCACCAACGAGGAGCATGTGTGATGGATGACCCGACCAGAAACTAAACACACCGTGGGGGCCTTGGAGACACATCAAGGCCACCAGAGCAGGGCAGGCTTTGGGTTTCGTTTTTTTTTTTAACCCTCCCCTTTTCAAAGCACAGAAAATGTGCGACTATGACCAAATGTTCTGGCATGTTTCAATTTGCACTCAACTGCATCACTCTTCAGCAAGAAATACGTGTCTCCAGCGCCGTACCAAAAGAAGGGCCTGCCTATCCTCCCACTGTGTATACTCGATACACAAGTGTTAGTTTTGGCGGTGGACAGGTGGAAAAATAGCCCCACACCGTGCTTAACAATGACTTATTTGTTATTCTCCACTAGAGTATGGATCTGGAGCGCAGGGAAAGTTTCCTCCTCTTGTTGCAAGTCTGCCTGGCTGGAACCCGGAGGTAAACACAGTTAATGAAGTAAGATGTTTTAGCGTGATTCGTGCAGATTTTTTTTTTAAGTGAAGTCCACATCAAAGTTTTTCAGCACTTCTCTTCACAAAGCCGTGAAATCCTTTCTTCCTCTCTGGCTTTGCGGCTGCACACGAGATAAATTTCCAGATGCACTCAATGGATTTTAATTTGTTATGCGTAACCTTATGTGATTGATATCTGAGATAGAATGAAATGCAACACTGGGCAGAAGAATATCTGCCACTATTTGCTTCCTTAGTGCAACAATATGAATAAAAAATGCTCCAAAGACCACGTTTTATGGGAAGAAAGTGGCTTTTGGCACATGAAATTAATAGAACTGGCACAAAAGCAATGCTCATGTGAACGTGGTGTATAATGAAATGTTTCACAGGCTGCATTCATTTCTTTTGGTTATTGGACTAACACTGAGATGGCTTGGATAGATGTATTAGACCCTGTTCTTACCAGCAGACTTCAAAGCTCAAACACTCTTCTGAACAACGATTTACTCTTTCATGCCTCACACGAGGGCTTCCTTTCGATCTTGTTTTCTGAATTTTTACCTGTAGGGAGGAAAAAAACTGACTTTTTTATAACCCCTTTCAATCTCAAGTTATAGTAACTCTTTGAGCTGTATTTCTTTTTCAGCTGGTTGTGTTTTTAGCAGAAAATAAAAAGGTATCATTTGAAATGAATAGGCTGCGCTAACAACTACCGACTTTTACATTTCCATTACTTCTTCATTAAAGGCTGTGCCTCAGATTAATATCTTTTTAATTCAGCCTTTTTTTGCCCTTTTGGTAACAGCAGCATAAATATTGATGTTTAACAGGAACAGCAACCAAAGCATGTTTTTTATTAAAGCAGCCATAATCAATATTTTTATGTTAACAAGGGATTAGTGTGTGTGTGTGTGTGTGTGTGTGTGTGTGTGTGTGTGTGTGTGTGTGTGTGTGTGTACCCTTAAGTCTTACTCTCACTGTCCCTCTTTAGTGTGATTTCTGGCAGAAAGGTATCTGTGTGAATTGAAAAAGCTTTGTTAGACTGTACCTTGTGATACCCATTCCATAGCAAATACTTAACAGAGCAAGCTGGTGACTAGCTACTGAACATTTAGCAACACAGACAGAAGTTATATCTCACTGGAGCTCATTGCAACCAACAGCTAAAGCATTTGAATACTGGATTTAGTGCCAAATAAGAGAACCTATAGGGTGCAAGCACAGCATATGTACACTTTGTTCCTGCAATGCTACTGTTTGTATTAAAGCGCCATGGAGTTGGAATTAGTGTCATCATGCAGTCAAATTGTATCCATATGATGAACTAAACTATCCTCTCATTGATTTTCTTAACCACTCATCCAATCCACGGTCATAGGGTTCTTATCCTGCCATAGAATTAGGCCAGATAAACCCTGGTCCATCACAGCAAACCAAACTAATGACTGGTAAATGGTGAATGGATCAGTATGTATACTGGTATGTAATTCTCCTTACATATTCAACTCAGAACTCTAAGTGCTTTTTACTGCAAGTCTCGTTCACCCAGTAACAAACACATATAAGTGCCTTTTTCTATACCTGAGCATACACACTTACACTTCATGTTTCAGTATCTTACCCAAGGATACTTTGACATGCAGACTGGAGTAGTCGGGAATCGATTTACATCCCTCAGAGCTATTTGTTCTTCATTAAATGCTGTGCCTCAGATTAATTCATTTACATGTTTTAATTTAGCATGGCACTTTCAACAGGAAAGTTGCAGTTCATCCACTGGCCACTTGAGGCTGGCTTCAAAAATGAGTCAATCCACGCCCACAATAAAAAGATTATATCTTTGATAGAATTATCTGACAAATTTTTATGTCCTCATGTACACTTGAACCTTTCAAGAAATCTGCATTTCAGTTCAATTCTTCCACTGTGTTAGTGTGGAGCTTGCTAACCAAACTTGCAAATATTAAGTGATAACTTAAGAGCACTCCACCCTTGTCAGTTTTGGCTCTACAAAACAAATATGGCGGCAGGCAAACGGCCAGCATTCGGGCTTCACAATGTGCAGGGCAGCGGGTGATGTCAAAGTGTCCATCCTTTACATACAGTCTTGGCATTAAACGCATTTTTACAAAACTTGTTTACCTATGTTAGAGAGCGCAGTTCCACCTTATCTAATGATTCACTCAGCTGTTAGAGATGGCTCTACTTTCAAACATTAGCTCACTGGTTGATTTCTAGGAGATGACTGTCACAACCTTTTTAATGTGCTCAGCATTATGGCTCAATTAAGTGTGGAAAGATAAGCAATACCCGTGTGGAATTGTGGACCTATTTAGGTGTCTGTAAATATGATTTTGTTGCATATTTAGATGCTAAATAGATGCGATCCTCCATGGAACTGAAGTTATACTGCCACGTTACTGAAATGCAGTCTTACCCACAGAAGAGGAGGTGATGCTCAATTAGTATTCATTGCAGCTCTGTAGTGATGGCAATCTAAGATTACGCTGCACACTGGAATTTATAGCTTCATGCACACACGCACAAGCATCTGCTTTATTCTTCTTCCTAAATTCAAAGGAATGACAGTCTTTAAGCACTCCACTGCGATGAAGAAAGCAGGCAGAGCTGATTTTTACACGTGTGTTTACGCAGGTTAAGCATCTAAAAGTTTAGAAAATGAGTCCTTGCGGCAGTACATGACAGCCTTCTTGAGGGTGGAGTGCGTGGGGATCGGGTATTACGTGCCGCTTCCTCTTGAGTTGTTTACAAATGTAAGCGGGGGGAGGCCAGAGAGTTCTTTTTCACACCAGTGCCAGGAATGTCATCAATATATGCACTGGTAATATTTGTCCCTCCTCCCTCCCCAGATGTACTCTCATGCCTACATGCATGGATAAACACAGACAT